GACCTACCTTACAGCCAACAATGTACTTCATACACTATTCAGACCTACCTTACAGCCAACAATGTACTTCATACACTACTCAGACCTACCTTACAGTCAACAATGTACTTCATACACTACTCAGACCTACCTTACAGTCAACAATGTACTTCATACACTACTCAGACCTACCTTACAGTCAACAATGTACTTCATACACTACTCAGACCTACCCTACAGTAAAAAAAATGTACTTCATACACTACTCAGACCTACCTTACAGTCAACAATGTACTTCATACACTACTCAGGCCTACCTTACAGTCAACAATGTACTTCATACACTACTCAGACCTACCTTACAATCAACAATGTACTTCATACACTACTCAGACCTACCCTACAGTAAAAGAATGTACTTCATACACTACTCAGACCTACCTTACAGTCAACAATGTACTTCATACACTACTCAGACCTACCTTACAGTCAACAATGTACTTCATACACTACTCTGACCTACCTTACAGTCAACAGTGTACTTCATACACTGCACAGACCTACCTAACGGTCAACAATGTACTTCGTCCTACATTATAATCAACAATGTACTTTATACACTTCTCGGACCTACCTTGAATAAGAACACGAGAAAGAAGGAACACTGCAACAGGCCTACTGACCCATGTGGAGCAGGTCCATGTCCTTCCCCAGATTAGCCCAATGACCCACCCAGTCTGGTCACCTCCACTCAAGGAAGGAGCACGGCACCAGGCCCAGCAGCACAAGCTAGTCAGGTCCAACTCACACCCACCCACACCCACTCATGTATTTATCCAACCTGTTTTTAAAACTACACAACGTTTTAGCCTCAATAACTGTACTCGGGAGTTTATTCCACTCATCCACAACTCTGTTACCAAACCAGTGCTTTCCTATATCCTTCCTGAATCTGATTTTTTCCAGCTTGAAACCATTGCTGCGAGTCCTGTCTTGGCTGGAAATTTTCAGCACGCTATTTACATCCCCTTCATTTATTCCTGTTTTCCATTTATACACCTCGATCATATCCCCCCTAATTCTACGTCTTTCGAGAGAGTGCAGATTCAAGGCCTCAGTCTATCCTCATAGGGAAGATTTCTGATAACAGGGATCATCTTTGTCGTCCTTCTCTGTACGTTTTCCAGAACATTTATATCCATTCTGTAATACGGTGACCAAAACTGTACAGCATAATCTAAATGAGGCCTAACCAAGGATATATAGAGTTGAAGAACAACCTGAGGACTTCTATTATTTATACTTCTAGACATGAAGCCAAGAATTCTGTTACCTTTATTGGAACACTAATGCACTGTTGTCTTGGTTTTAGATTACTGCTAACCAGGACACTTAAGTCCTTTTCGCAATCAGTTGTATTAAGATCTAAATTATTTAGTATATGTGTAGCATGGTTATTTTCCTGCCTAGCATTTAGAACTTTGCATTTGTCTATATTAAACTGCATCTGCCACTTCTCCGACCATTGCAAAGGTCTATTCAAATCTTCCTGGAGTGCTCTAGTGTCCTCATTAGAATGAACTGGACGGCCTATTTTGGTGTCATCAGCAAATTTGCTTATGTTGCTATTTATTCCCTCAGCTATGTCGTTTATGTAAATTGTGAACAACAACGGGCCCAACACTGACCCCTGTGGAACACCGCTTGTGACGTGCCCCCATTCTGATTACTCCCCATTTATGCAAACTCTCTGCTGTCTATTTGTCAGCCATGCCTGTACCCAGGAAAAAATTTCTCCTCCTATTCTGTGTGCCTTAAGTTTCCTCAATAGCCTCTGATGTGGAACTCTATCGAAAGCCTTGCTGAAGTCCATATACACAATATCATATTCATTACCATGATCTACCTCCTCAAACACCTTAGTGAAAAAAATTTATAAATTCGTAAGACAGGAACGCCCATTTGTAAAACCGTGTTGAGATTCAATAATCAATCTGTGCCTATCAAGATGGCTACGAATTGCTTCGGCAATTATTGATTCCATAAATTTTCCCACTAAAGAGGTAAGGCTTATTGGTCTATAGTTCGAAGCGAATGACCTCTCACCTGCCTTGTAAATTGGTATTACATTTGCCATTTTCCACTTATCATGCCAGTTTGTAGTGATATGTTAAAAAGATTAGCCAAAGGTATGCTAAGTTGCTCTTTACATTCCTTTAACACCCTTGCAAACAGTTCATCAGGGCCTGGGGATTTGTTAGGTTTTAGTTTCTCTATCTGTCTGAGGACCATGTCACTAGTTACTGCTAACGTGCATAGTTTATTATTGTCCTGTTCTACATAATCTATTATTTCAGGAATATCGCTAGTATTTTCCTGGGTGAAAACTGAGAGGAAGCAGTTATTGAGAATTTCACACATATCCTTATCACTGTCAGTGATCTGACCAGAGTTACTCTTACGTGGGCCTATGTTGTCCCTAATCTTACTTCTATACACCCGAAAGAACCCATTTGGGGTTAAACCATACCCCCGGCCGGGATTGAACCCGCGGTCATAGAGTCTCAAAACTCCAGCCCGTCGCGTTAGCCACTAGTTAGATGAATCTTATTGTGGCTAGCTGGTCTAGTGGCTAACGCGACGGGCTGGAGTTTTGAGACTCTATGACCGCGGGTTCAATCCCGGCCGGGGGTATGGTTTATTTGCAATCGTGTCATTACGATTTCTTAAGCCATTTGGGGTTAGTCTTTGAATCCCATGCGACCTTAGCCTCATAATCCCTTTAAGCTTTTCTTATTCCTTTCTTTATTTCTATCTTTAATTTAATATATTTACTTCTTAACTGCACATCCCCTCTTTTGATACGCCTATATATGCTTCTCTTTTGACCAATGAGATGTTTTAATCTACTGTTCATCCATTTTGGATTATATTTGTTAGATCTAATTTCCCTACTGTGCACAAAAGTTGTCTGGGCAGCTTGAACTATGCTCTGAAAAACTTCATATTGGCAACCAAGATCACCTACCTGACCCATATTCAGGACATCCGAATTTAGCCCACCCAGGTAATTTTTCAGTCTCATGAAGTCAGCCAAGCAAAAATCTGGGACAGAGATTTGATTGCAGTTATCTGGGTAATTCCGTGATAAATTGAAACTAAGTGATTTGAAATCACTTTCCCCAAGCTCATCATTAACCTCAAGAGTATTAATTAGTGAATCTTTGTTGGCAAGAACCAATTCAAGCAAATTGTTTCCTCTAGTTGGTTCTGTCAGAACCTGTTCCAAAAAGCAATCCTGAACAGTATCAAGAAAGTCACTAGACTCAAGATTTCCTGTCATATTGTTCCAATCAATTTGTCTAAAGTTAAAATCTCCAATTATCACAACATTTTCATATCTAGATGCCTTATGAATTTCGTCCCATAACAGCTTACTGCACTCCCTATCAAGGTTTGTGGGCCTATAAATCACACCCAAAATTAATTTGTCACGACCTTCGAGAAACTGTAGCCAAACAGATTCTATGTTCGATGCTTTTAATCTTATATCATGTCTAAGACAACAATTTAAATTTTCTCTGATGTACATCGCCACTCAACCACCCTTCCTGTTGACCTTATCAGTGTGGAATAATTTATAACCCTGTATGTTGCATTCAGAAGGCATTTCTCTATCTTTCAGGTTGAACCAGGTCTCTGTTATACCTATAATATCTATATTACCTACACTTGAAAGTAATCTTAGCTCATATATCTTATTTCTTAGACTCCTACTATTTTTATAGTAACCCTTTAGGGAGCTAGTCACTCGTTGCCCTCTGCTATCTCTTTTTGTTTGTTGATAAATTGATTTGCAATTACTAGAAACTTTATTTTGAATATTGTCTTTTAAACATATCCCTGAGGTATCCCAGTAATAACTGCTGTTTTTAACCTTAATACTGCTGCCTGATTGTTTCCCCACAAACACCCATACCTTTATAAATTATCAGTTTAAATTCCTAGACAAGTCATTAGTTACTCTTTTAATCGAATTGGCTAATGCAACCACTCCATCCCCAGAGAGATGAACCCCATCCCTTGCATACATATCACGTTTGCCAAAGAAAAGGTCTCATTTATCAATAAATGGGATTGCAAGTTCCTTGCAGTACCTGTCTAGCAAGCAATTTATACCAATTGCCCTAGACATCAATTCATTGCCCACTCACTTTCTAGGCAAGATGCTACATATGATGGGGATCCCTCCCTTAGACCTAATTACTTCTATGGCTGACCTGTACTTATCCAGCAGCTCCTGTCTCCTGCCCTTCCCAATGTCATTACCCCAAGCACTAAGACAGATAATGGGCTTGTTACCATTAGCTGACATAATATTATGCAACCTGCTGACTATGTCACCAACACCAGCTCCTGGAAGGCACACTCTCTGTCTGACCTTTCTGTCTCTGTTACAAAAAGCACGGTCCATATATCTTACATGAGAATCTCCTACTATTAAAATATTCTTACCTTGATTAGCAGGAGAATCAGTGGTACCTTCAACCTCACTAACCACTGAAGTGCACTCGTCCTGGAGAACAGAGAATCGATTTCCTACCATCGCATCTTCTCTGTTAACCCTCCTTATCTTCCTTCTTCCTGAACTGTGAACCACTTGCCACTTAAATCGGCTGCCAGTATCAGTGCTGGTGGCCATTTCCTCCTTACCAGCTAAATCCTTCTCACACTCACTCCCAAACTCATTTAGCTGAAGCTTCAGCCTCCTATTTTCCTCCTGAAGAAGTAGAACCTCCTTCTTCAAGACCTGAACTATCAACAATGTACTTCTTACACTACTCAGACCTACCTTACAGTCAACAATGTACATCATACACTACTCAGACCTACCATACAGTCTACAATATACATCATACACTACTCAGACCTACCTTACAGTCAACAATGTACATCATACACTACTCAGACCTACCTTACAGTCAACAATATACATCATACACTACTCAGACCTACCTTACAGTCAACAATGTACATCATACACTACTCAGACCTACCTTACAGTCAACATAATATTTGCCAGTAACATTGTTCACTTCTTCAGACACTGCCAGGTAAATACTTGTCTGGGCTCCAAGTTTCTCGTCCTGAAAAATAATGAGTCATGTATAACTAAATAATTGCACATTAATAAGTATATTACTGAGTGAAACCCATCAAATTAGGTGTTTTGTGGCCACTGAAGTGTTGTTGATTCAGAAAGAAGAGCTAGTCTCTCCTTCCTTCGATGAAACTTCATTTTCATAATTTCCTGTGAGATGCATGAACCCTACGGGTTTTGATCTTCCTGATGATTTTAATAATAATTTGTTATTTGAGCATCAAAAGTGTGGCAGTAAAAATATGTGAACCAACATAGGATGCATTTCATGACCCGAAAAACAGCTGACAAATAATTACTTTTCTGCATTATCAATAACTATAAAAATCATGCTTCTATAATTTTACTTTCAACGTCAACATTTATAATCATAATTAATAAATATTATTTGAAGATATTTACTTTTCCCATAAGCCAAACAAGTAAGGCGAATATGCTTTTGATAAGGTTAGTTTCACCTTTCCACATTATCTCCGTGTACACTGCACCTGGGTGGACGCTGTTAGCCGTCACATCTGCAGATAAAAATAAAATATTTAACATCTCCTTTCTTTTTCCATTAATTATGTATCATTATAAATCATTTCAAGATAATTAGCCATTAAGGGAAAGTCCTGCTTGTTGATGTGGTGCTCTTGATAATAGGAATTGAACCTGACCTCTCCTTTCTTAGATCAAACCTGATTGACTGCCATTCCCAATCCTCTGTATCATCCATATGGGTTTAGCGATTCCCCTTCTCAGTAATAATAATTTTAAAGTATAAAATCTATTTAGAAAGATAATGAACCATGCAAGTTAGAACATATTTAGAACACCAGTATTAATAATGAACAAACCTGTTCCCCTCAGCTTCTCTGACAGTTCTTTGGTAAACAAGATATTCGCTAGTTTGCTGTGACCGTAAACGATATGGCTTTTAGGGAAAGGATTCTTTTCGTAGTTCAGGTCATCTACATCAAGTGATGAGCAGAAGTGATGTGACCTAGAAGACACATTGACCACTCGACTTGGAGCACTTGTCTTCAACAGTCCTAGAGAAACAACAATATTATACTTAATTCTGTGGTCAAATATAGTCATTACCTTTATTTTTCTATTCAGATCCATTATTGTAAAATTTTTCATAATTTTTTAGTGATTTTTTATATGAGAGTTTTAATTAATATATAGATTATTAAATATAACTAGCTTTTAGTTGAATATTTATATTTCACCGTCTCGCTGAATTTGCGGGTCGTATCTTAGTGTTGATGGGTGGTATACATCATGAACATTGCAATCATAATAGAGACTCTAAAACAGCTTGCAGCAGCGTTGTTTCGAGGACAAGAAATTATGTTCCATCAAACGACAATTTGGATCTTAACCATTTTCACCCAGTCAGTGTCAAGTGTGGGAAATTGCTCACGTGTTGAAAACTTGATTAATACATTAATACCACATGGAAAGATCAATATAATAATAATATTAATAATAATAGTACACAATACCGAGAAGCAGATATGTAAGAAGCATGTGCAACAATTAGGTTTCGCCCACACAGTAGTCTCATCAGTAAAAAAACAGAAGTTTTGAATATGGAGACAACAGAAGCGGTGAAGAGGTAAAGATTATGTGATCAGTCCAGCAACTTTGAAGAGGTAGTTGAGGTGGTCAGTCCCTCAGCCTGGAGATGTGTTCACCTTCATTGTCTTAAACGAAATGAAGCTGAAACATGAGAATGGAGACATTTATGTCAGAGGTGAGGCGCCGATAACAGAGATGACATCAGAGAAAATATTAAGATAAGAAAGTGAAAAACTGCAGCAGACTTAGTGGCCCATGTTAGGAAGGTTCTCAAATACAACTTTTCTCCCGCATAACCATGGACGGATCTACTGTGAAACAAATGAATCTTAAGCTTCAGGGCTCCCTACTCCCAGAAGGGCAGCAGATGACACTTTAGTCAACTTTGCTTAAAAATTTTGGGTCTACTGTATAAGAAGGGGTCCTTAAAAAATAATGATGTTAATAACATAGGAGACTGGAAAGGAACTGGGGGAGAAGTCTGGGGGAGGGACACAGGAGAAGGAGAAGAGGGGACTACGTAGGGGGGGGGGTGAACCTTCATCTTCGTGTGAGAGTTAGAAAAAGGGTGAAAACTAGGCACTGAGGCCGAGAAGGAGAACCGTTGAGGAATTGTAAGCACCGGAGAAATGCGACGAGACTTGGGCTTTGGAGACAGATTCAACTTCACAGGTGATAGGCAAGAAGAAGGTGCATTCGTGAGAGACCTCGCAGACTGAGAAATTAGCTGGCGAGATGAAGAAGTAGAAGTAGGAAGAGGTGCACAGGTGGGGGTTTCAGAGAGTAAAACTACAAAAGAACTAAAGATGGGGTGACCCCGGAAGACATTGCACCAGAGGAGCTGGTAAGTGGGGGGGATTGTCAAGGTTGGAGGTCTTCTATATACTCGAGAATAAGGAACACGAGGAAGATTCTCCTGAAGGCAGAGCCGAGAGACAGCCATAGCATAAGTAAGGCCATCACTCTCCTTATGATAACGGATTTTACGTTCATTAAGATAAACCTGACATTGGCAGAAAAAGAAGGATGAATTTCGTTGCAATTATTACAAGTGAAGGGAAGACTGCAAGATATATAGTCATGATCCTCGTCACTGCAGACCGGGCACTCCGCCGCAGACCTGCAGTATTTATCTGGATTTCCGAAGCGCCAACAATTTCGATACTGTTAAGGTGCTTATTAAGAAAAAGATATGCAGTAATCCACTAACTGGATTCTTCCAGTTTCGCTGGATTCGGTAGGATTCAAATGCTTTTTGTTGGAAATAAAGCCGGATTCGGCCGGATTCAAATGGTTTCGTTGGAAATAAAGCAAGATCGGAAGAACTGTTACAAAAAATTAAATACATCGGGGAATCATAAACCAGCTAGCTAGGAGAGTTGTATAGTATTGTAAGATGACCACCACCATGAAGATCTGTGTAGTCTGCAGAAAGGGTAAAGGACGAAAACAGGCCTGGATTGCTTGCCATCTGTGTGGTCGATGGTCCCATAGTATATGCAGGGATTTTAAACTAGTGACCACACTTGACATAAACTCAGAGAGATTTTTTGGGTCTGCCAAACGAGATACACCTGTATGAGGAAATGACATCTATATTAAAAGACAAGAGCACCAATAAAATATCCTTCTTGAAAGACATGTCAGCATGGTATGACAGCTGGGAAAAAAAAGATGGGTGGTAGGGACGGGGCTGTCTTGGACACTGCTCCTGAGGGGGCTAGTGTTGTCCTGGAGGACAGTGCTGAGGGTGCTAGTGTTGTCCTGGAGGAAAGTGCTCCTGAGGGTGCTAGTGCTGTCCTGGAGGACAGTGCTGAGGATGCTAGCGTTGTCCTAGAAGAAAGTTCTCCAGAGGGTCCTAGTGATGTCTTAGAAGATAGCGCTTGTGAGGGTACTAGTGTTGTCCTGGAGGACACTGAAGACAACCTTATTCAATCCACAGAGGTTCAAAATAGAGATTCTGCTGGAGATGGATCAAAATGGGATGATGCCTCAGGGAATAGTGTCGACACACTACCAGCAAAACCTGGTGGAAGCACTGGTGTCCATGCAGGGGTAAAAAGATATTGAGGAAACAGAAAAACTAAATGCAGCAGCAGTGAATGCAGCTACAATAAATCCTAGCAAACAAGTTCAATCTGTGTAAATAGCCTTGGGTATCTGCAGGCACGGTATATCTGGTAAAACAGGTGGGACATGCACCTTTGACCATCCCAAAAAATTCCGTACCCACATGTCAACAGGAGAGTGCAACTTCCCTTCTTGCAACTCATTTCACCCAGAAATATGTCACTCATCAATCCATGAAAGAAAATGCTACAATGCATACTGCCTGCCTGGCAGTATGCATTGTAGCATTATGACTAGAAGACATAGACCAGCCACACAGAGGAGCTCTTTAGGGCCAGAAGGGAAAAATACTGGCAAGAAATGACAATAATCCTACACCACCTGAAAACACTTCTGGAGCAGAGGCATGGACATTGGCCTGTACTCCAGAAAAACAGATATTAGAGCCAGCAAATAAACCCCCCTAAATTCCACTAATACGACATTTGTCTTTGCAAACTTACAGGGTCTAAAGCCGTCAAAAAAACAACAGAATTCCTTACATCATGGACTGCTCATGGAGTCAAATGCAATGTTTGCAGCATTCACAAAGACCCGCATGAAGGGTCATTATTACAATGAAATGTGGATCCCAGGTTATAACCTATTCCGAAGCGACAAACTAAAGAGGCAACAAGGGGGGGTTGGCCTGTATGTCACAGAGTCGCTCATTTGCACAGAGCTGCTAAACACCTCAAAGGATGTAGTTGAAGTTTTGGCGGTAAAGATCAAAAACCAAAACCTTGTCATTGTGGTCGTATACAAGCCTCCAGATGCAACTTCAAAGCAATTCCAGGAGCAGCTTGAGAAAATTGACCACTGTCTGGAAAATCTCCCAACTCCTGCCCCAAACATCTTACTACTAGGAGATTTCAAACTGAGACACTTAAAATGGAGGAGTATAGCAAACAATGTTTTAGCAGAGATTACCCTGAGAGGCAGCTCAGATGAAAATTTACACACACACGAACTATTAAATTTCTGCAACAAATTCACCTTTAACCAGCAAATAGTAGAGCCTACAAGACTAGAAGGTATGCTGGACCTCATCTTCACTAACAACAATGATCTGATACATAATACAACTGTATCAAAGACAATTCCCTCAGATCACAACATTATAGAGGTACAGACATGTATGCACAGGGCTCTGGACCCGCAAAATGTAAGGGGTCATGAAGGTCTCTTCACGAAATTCAATTTCAATAACATAAACATACAATGGTACAAGTAAACTATGTCCTAAATGAAACAAGCTGGGAAGATATCCTAAACTACACGGATCCGAACATTTGCCTTGAAAAAATTAATTCTGTGGATGTTGAGATCTGCTCAAGACATATTCCGTTAAGAAAAAGAAAGAGAAGATATAAACTAGAAAGAGACAGACGTTTCCTATACAGACGAAGGCAAAGAGTCACAGAGCTGCTGAGTGGCATCAATATATCTGAAATACGAAGGGAGGCACTAGTCAATAAAACTGCAAATGTCGAACTTAAGCTGAAGGAATCTTATAAGAGATAAGAATCACAGTAAGAACTAAAAGCCATAAAGGAAATTGAAAAAAACTCAAAATACTTCTTCTTTTGTGCCAATCTTAAGGAAAAAACAACATCCAGTATTGGATCCTTGCTTAGGTGGGATGGGACATATACAGATGATAGCCGTGAAATGAGTGATATACTGAAGTCCCAATATGACTCATTGTTCAGCGATCCACTGCCCACTCTAAGGGTCGACAATCCAAATTAATTCTTTATGAACTAAGCCCAAAATATGGTCATCCCAAAACTCTCGGATATTATTCTAACTCCACAAGATTTTGAAGAGGTAATTAATGACATGCCCACGCACTCTGCCCCAGGCCCAGACTCGTGGAACTCCGTGCTCATCAAGAATGGCAAGAAGTCCCTATTGCGTGCCTTCAGCATTTTATGGAGAGGGAGCATGGACACAGGGGTCATCCCACACACACTAAAGTCAACAGACATAGCCCCACTCCACAAAGGTGGCAGTCAAGCAATTGCAAAGAACTACAGACCGATAGCACTAACATCCCATATCATAAAAACCTTTGAGAGGATTCTAAGAAGCAAGATCGCCAACCACAAAGATACCCATCAGTTACACAACCCAGGGCAACACGGGTTTAGAGCAGGTTACTCCTGCCTGTCCCAGCTACTGGACCACTATGACAAGGTCCTGGATGCTGCAGAGGATAAACAAAATACAAATGAAGTATACACAGACTTTGCAAAAGCTTTCGACAAGTGTGACCGTGGTGTAATAGCACACAAAATGCGGAATAAAGAAATAACAGGAAAAGTTGGTAGATGGATCTACAACTTCCTGACAAATAGAACACAAAGAGTAAAGTCCCAGGCAGCCATGGCAAAAAGCTCTGTTCCACAAGGCACAGTACTCGCTCCCATTCTATTCCTCATCCT